GATATGAACATTGCTTACGTCTTTGAAAGTGGATCATGTAACTCATCACATCTGATTAAAGTATATTTTAGTCTGATTGCCGATACGTCTCTGTGTGACATGATCTTAATGGGGCTGAAGACCAGAAACCTCTATTAATAACTTCTTCTTTACTGTTTGTAACGACAATTTGAAGTTTCAGGGCCACTTCTCAACTTTCCCCCGTTTAATTCCATGATGAAATATACGGAAGGGTATCCACGGGCTACTCGCACGCCAGCATTCATTAATAAAAAAAAAGAATCTGCGCTTGAAGCATCATGCGTATGTCAAGTGGTTTGGTTGTTGTTTAACGCCGCACTCAGCAATATTCTAGCTGTATGGCGGCGGTCTGTAAATAATCGAGTCTGGACCAGACAATCCAGTGATCAACAGCATAGACACCGATCTACACAATTGGAATACGATGACATGTGTCAACCAAGTCACCTGATTTCATTAGTCGCCTCTTACGACAAGCATGGATTACTGAAGACCATTTCTAACCCGGATCTTCACAGGTCAGTATATCAAGTGAGTATATCAAGAACCCACGTGTCCTACCACGACTAAATAAAACGCAACTGAACAACGTTGCCTATCGGGTGAAAGGAGCAGAATGGCAGTCGGCTGTTGCCAGGGTATGCAATATGTCCCAGACCTCAATCTCTCAACTTCAGAACGTCGGTATCGTACGTGACCAACTCGGGGTTACAACTGTAACACGAATCACTTCAGACGGCACCGTCATTTGCGGCAGAGGTGCACAACAGCATCCTCTACAACAGCATCTGCAATTTCGTGATTGTCGGGGCTGTTTGACCAGAAGTGTGGAAAAGTGAGGCATCTCGGCAAGATGGTTTGTCAGAGGGGATGATTTGATCCAACAAGAGCGGCCGTCATTGGTTTCAAGAACTTCATCCAAACCAGTGGTTTGGAACTGGTTCGGCTCCGTCGAGGGAAAGTCGAAGTGTGCCATCGAGGCTGAGTTCGGTTCAACGCCTCTTTGAACAGTATTTGATAGACCGCTGTCTCACACACATAACGAGGTCAAGTCAAGATGTTTGAGTGAGTGAGTGAGTATGGTTTTATGCCGTGTTTAGCAATATCACAGCGGGGGACACCAGAAATGTGCTTCACACATTGTACACATGTTGGGGATCGAACCCGGGTCTTCGGCGTGACGAGCGAACCACAAGGCTACTCCACCGCCCCGAGTCGGGATTTGTACTAACGACCATAGGTTTCTGGTAGACCTTTCCGATTACGCGTTTCTCATTTTGATGAGTATAGTTGGTGAGTGACGTTGGTGCAAGGCTACTTTTAGTTTTATCACACATAGATAATATATGTTATATCTGGTCATGCCAGCTAAATATGAGAGGAAAGTATGGGCAACGCATCCATAAGCATTCAGAGAGACGTCTGTGTCTGGTCTCGTGACGCATGACAATGTCCAGATCACCAAGAACCATTCTTCTTCTCCTCAGACAGAGTTTCCAGAACAGTTGAGAACCTCCATGAGTTTGGACTAACACACTAGACTCTGCTATGCATTTATCCCGTAATACCCCTTTTATCAAATTAGTACCGTAAAATAGCGATTTAAGAGCTTCTTCACCTCCGAAGCCAGCTTTCCTGATTAAATCTAGCACCATGCCGTTGTCAGTCTCGGGGTGAGGACCAGCAATTGCATACACTTCGTCTCATTCCAGCTCGATACAGATTGGTGTCAAATTACATGCAACTCACCATATCTGCACCTTAAGTTGTTAACCTTTAAAAAATGACTTAACTTATCGAGAGGACAAATTGGAAACAGACTCAAGACTAACGAGTTGTGTTAGTGATAGAAGAGGAAATGATCTGGCACCCAATGCACGCAACAACCTTAACACGAGACATTAGTAAAGGACACTTTCAAACTTGTATATTTACAAAGAAATCACTCTTTGCAACTGGCTTTAGCTTATGGAAACAAATAATTTTGTCCTTCTTTTTGCGCTTATTGGTCCTAGATTATGAAACGTTGCTTAGCTTGTAATAAATGGTTTGTATACAGGCATGTGTTGATATTTTCTGCATTTAGTGCAGTGCTGGTGTCTCATCGAAGGCCACTACATTAGGGGCGGTCGGGTACACAAATGGTGAAATGGTTAGCTCGTCCCAGTTTAAGTCCCCATGTGAGCATAAAGTGTGGAGCCTGTGTTTGTTGTCCTCGCAGTGATAGTGCTGTTGTCTCATCGAAGGCCACTACATTAGGGGCGGTCGGGTACACAAATGGTGAAATGGTTAGCTCGTCCCAGTTTAAGTCCCCATGTGAGCATAAAGTGTGGAGCCTGTGTTTGTTGTTCCTCGCAGTGATAGTGCTGGGATGCTGCTGAAGGCGGTGTAACCATGCTCATTACAATAGAGTGAGTGAGTGAGTTTAGTTTTGTGCCGCTTTTGACAATATTCCAGCTATATCACTGCGGGGGACACCAGAAATGGGCTTCACACATTATACCCATGTGAAGAATCGAACCCGGGTCTTCAGCGTGACGTTTGCCTATATCTGATAGCCCACATACCTTTGTGACCCTTTAGTAATGACGCTATGTATTACGTCACATATCCATCAAACAAAAATTACGCCTGTGCCATCGCCATTGCCAGAACCCCTTGGGACGCCCCAAACATAGAGACCCTTGCGAGATATACCACAATCAGGGAATGACGCTCCTGTCATCGCCGTTCCCCGAACCCCACCGGACTCTTAAAATTAACCCATGCAAGAAACCTGTCCCCAATAGAAATTTGAGGCTTGGCTGGAAAGCAGAGTCAAATAGAGTCAACTGATTGGAATCTTACATCCTCGTGCTCTCAGACGTAACTGCCGTCTTGGGATGCTCTGCAGTTATTCAGCCGAAGATTGAACACGGTAAACTTGCAAATCTCAACGCCTCACGACCGAAATGCGGCTTTAAGAACCGTGTAATACCTCGTTCTGACTAGAATTTCACCTTGCAATTGGCAATGTAATGGCTCGCAGTGAAATCTAAAGCACATGTACACCGACATTTTATTGCTATGACGATAATACTGTTACCAGGAAACGTGTTTTAAGGCGGTTCGGTTCCTTTATTACATTGTTGCGAGTCCGGATTGGAATAGGTCTCTGGTACTTATGCAGGCGAAAATACAGGCTCGGGTAAAACGTCGCATGTGAGGGAGTAATGGTCAGAATAGACCCCCAAGGCATCATGCTTGTCGTAAGAACAAGTGAGTATGGTTTTACGCCGCATTTAGTAATATTCCAGCAATATCACGACGGGGGACACCCAAAATGGGTTTTACACATTGTACCAATGTGGGGAATCGAACTAGGGTATTCGGCGTGACGAGCGAACGCTTTAGCCATTAGGCTACCCCACCGCCCTTCGTAAGAACACACGAAATATGGGTCGGAGGTCAGGTTATGTGGGGTACGTGTAGAAAGTGTATCTAGAACTGACTAAAATAGGCACAACCGGACACTATGGAAACCTCTGTTGAACCAGTCGTCTCGGGGATGCAATGCAGAGTTGCATCCTATAGTACTGCCCGGATCCGACGAACATTTGTTCAAACTCACATTCGCCTTGGAGCCGTGAAGATTCGGGGTAGAATAGGTCTTCAGCAACCCATGCTTGCCACAAAGGGCGACTAACGGGATCGGGTGGTCAGGCTCGCTGACTTGGTTAACACATGTCATCGGTTCCCAATCTGGTCCAGACTCGCTTATTTACAGACCGCCGCCATATAGCTGGAATATTGCTGAGTGCGGCGTAAAACTAAATTCACTCACTCACTCACATTCGCCTTGATTGTGATTTCTATTTTGCCAGAACCACAAGACTCACTTAATCCTCTTTGTGTTTGATTGTTGGTCGTTGTAGCGCTTTGTCATGAACCATTGTTAATGTTTTTAAGATTTGTGTGGTCCAGACTCTAAAAACTAACGGACTATTAAAATAATATTGCAGACTTGCTGTAAACGCTTACTCACCCCAAACCCATTTACTCACACTCACTCACCCACCCAAAACCCACTCACTCACTCGAGTGAGTGAGTATGGTTTTACGCCGCCCTTAGCTATGTTCCAGCAATATCACGGCGGGAACACCAGAAAAAGGCTTCATACATTGTACCAATGTGCTGAATCAAACCCGGGTCTTCCTTCGGTGTGACAAGTGAACGCTTTAACCAATAGGCTACCCCAATGCCCCTCACTCACTCCAGTACAGTAGAAGCAGTTTATGGCCGCTGTATGGCAAGTAAGGCCACCAGAAAAGAGTGAGTGAGTGAGTTTAGTTTTACGCCGCAATCAGCAATATTCCAGTTTTATGGCGGCGGTCTGTAAATAATCGAGTCTGGACCAGACAATCCAGTGATCAACAGCATGAGCATCGATCTGCGCAATTGGGAACCGATGACATGTGTCAACCAAGTCAGCGAGCCTGACCACCCGATCCCGTTAGTCGCCTCTTACGACAACCATGGATTACTGAAGGTCCACCAGAAAAGAACCAGTTCACGTTGACCTTTAGGAAGTATATTAATAATGGTTATAATTATCCAAGAGACAAAATCTTAGCTTCACACTGAGCACCAATTACAATGTCTAGACTCCGACGTATGGGGTATCCCTGGCAGCCAACAGGCCTATTTGATAAGAATGCCAGCCACGAAGGTTGCAGTCTAAATTCCTGGTAGGTGTCTGTTTTTCACTCCTTTTCCAATGGTCGTCGATAGAAATATGTTTACTATTTGAAGAAAACGCGTTTTGCTCTGGTAAAGTTTTCTTGAGCCATACAGTGGTGTCTCACGATAAGCATTGGTTGTTTGATAAATAATAATAATAACATAATTATAGTCCATTTATCATGCGCATTTCTCCTCGCATAATGCATGCTCGAAGCGCCCAAATAATCTGATTATTATTACCCTGCGAGCCGCTAGAAGGTTAATAGTCACATGACTTATCCCACCGGTTACCCATTTTTCTGATGGGTGAATAAAGGCGATTTTGAACAAACTTACTTGCCTAAGGTGAGACCACTTGTATCACATGTGCTTCGTTGTGGGGCAGGGCTAAAAGCCCCAGAAACTCTCAGGGGCTCTCTGCCAAACACGGTCACCCATCCAAAATCACTCCGCGCTCAGCGTTGCTCAACTTGTGACATGAGCTCTATGCACAGGACCATCACCACCACTACCGCCATATTGTGTTGACAGACTCGGGGATATTATCATGGCGAATTCGGGATTACAACCTTCGACATTCAAAGTTGTTATCTTTATTGGGTTGAATTTGGCTCTCGAATTACATTGATATCAGATCATAGTTTTCGCTACCGCTAAGTCAGACTTTTACCGACCAATCAGCCGCTCGCCACAATATCGGGAAAGTGACAGACATCTGTTTTCTAAACACGGGATGTTCCGATTACAGGCATCTCTCACATGAGATAAACATTAATTTAGTGGGAAGACTTAACCCTCAGGGATGCTGCTGCCATTCAATCTGGATCTTTTGGTAGCCATTCCACAATCTAGCATTGTTCAGTTTTCAAAATTGAAATCGAGGACTTTGTCAACATCGTTTTTAAAGCGCAGTCTGGAATCGTACACCGTATTGCTCCAGAAAGTTGCTTCCTGATTGGTTAATGTTAACTTCTCGAGAGTCATTTCATTGGTTGGTCAAAGTTCGTTGACATATGAAGGTAAGCTGCAGAACCATTTAACTGCTACTGTCTAGGGGTTGTAAAGTGTTGTATTGAGACAGAACCTTAAAAATTGTATCTCAAACATCGACGTCACAGATAGAGGAAGTTTCTGAAATTTAAACATGTGGCTCTAGTTTCAGAAGTTTCCAAATGTCAAAGGTGAAATCACAGACCAGATGGAGTGTGAGTGTGTGTGGCTGCTTGTCCACACCTGCGCAGTGCTTATAGTTCAGCTCACTCGAGGAGCATGTTGTCAAGAAGTGTTGTTTTAAGACAGACCCTTGAAAATTGTATCTCAGACATCGATGCCAAAGATGGAAGCAGTTTCCGATATTTAATCTGTGGTTGTATTTACAACAGTTTACTTTTACGAATTTCCAAATGTCAAATGCCCACTGGATATTTCTGGAATTGGTGTAATATTGCTGAAGTCGACGCAATACTACCCTCACTCCAAGCAGGATTGATGTTGTTTTTGTTTTTTTTACATGTACAGCCAACTGTTTCCAAAACATTGCAGAGTTTTATTTCAAAAACATATTTCCAAGAACACTGGAGGCGCCCGGGCCACTGGTGGAGGAATCTTTCAAGCAGTCTCATTTCGTGCTAGGGGGATGCGGCCCTTTGGAAGGATCTGTATTTCACCCTTTTTCAGGCCATTGTCACTTATGCGGTAAACGTCTAAGATATGGTCGCTTCTCAATTCGACCCCTTACCCAACAAGATGACACACTGAGAAAGTTCATTTACCCAACAAGATGACACACTGAGAAAGTTCATTTACCCAACAAGATGACACACTGAGAAAGTTCATTTACCCAACAAGATGACACACTGAGAAAGTTCATTTACCCAACAAGATGACACACTGAGAAAGTTCATTTGCAGGCTGACAGAGCAGGAATATTGCTAAAAGCGGTGTAAAATAACATTCATTCGCACAATACGTGGCACAGAGGTTGGTCGCTGGTATTTCAAGAAAATGAAATGTGTTAAACTGAACATAAACTAGAAGGTAAGTATACGTATTTCAATGAAGAGTTGTGTTGCACGTAGATTTGACGATCCTGGTCAAATGTTAAATTCAGCGCCATCAGATTGAATGCGCTAGAAAGCTGTCTGCGGTGATCACATATGTGTTATTAAATGTGTGGTTTATTGCAATAATATCTGGGAATCGAACCCGAGCATTTGGCATGTCGAGCGAACGAAGGTAACGAGTTACGAATCATGAGTCACGTGCAGTATTGTGAATGAATTGTTGAAACAAGGAAACAAAGTATGTTTCTGCATGTATCAAGCACCAATATCCGTGTTGCTCATAGGCGCTCGATATAATGCTCTGATTTATAGGAGCTCAATACCATCTGATTTGTTGATACGAGTTGGATAACGTCATTTGATTACCTGAGGAATGTGATAGCACTATCTCACTGACTGGAGTTGGATAGCATCGTGATTAGCTGATAGAAATCTGTTTAATAGACGTGTGATGACATCATGTGATACAGGAGTTTTATGACAGCTCCTGATTTATATCAGTTCGATTATTTCATCAAATGTTAGGAATTAAATAGCACGTGTACCAGAGGGTTTACCCCCTGGTGAATTCTTCCATTGGGATAATAATAATATAGCAAGTTTAGTGCCTCCTATCGTAAAATGTAATCTAGATTATCTACTCCTTTAACCGATAAATGTTTGATGACATCAGTTGACAACGTCATCTGATTATTTTATAGGAGTTCGATAACATGCTGTGATTAGTTCATTTTAGATTTGTAACTGTCAGTATTGGATATCTTAGAGTGGTAATCCATTCAAGACTTATTCCCCCTTGTTCACGATCATTATGGGATGTGTGCCGAAGCACATGGCCAACAGTGTATCCTGTTACTGTTACGAAGAGGTCGTGACAACGGCATGTGACAGTTACACTATATATGATCAGTTGAGAGAGATAGGTAACATGGCATGATGCTGTGATTAGTTCAGATTAGTTTGGTAAAATCATCTGATTAGTTGAGAGAATATCAACAACATGCCGTGATTAGTTCATTTTAGATTTGTAACACTATATGATTAGCTGAGAGGAGGTTTGTATCATGCTGTGATTAGTGCAGACTAATTTGGTAACATCATCTGATTAGTTGAGCGAGAGGACATTAGTGACATGCTATGGTTAATTCAGATTAGTTTGGTAACATTATCTGACTGATAGGAGTTTGGTCACATGTCCTGGTCGGTCCTTATAAGGCTTATTGGACGGCGTTTAACTCGACTTCGGACACAGAACCGTAACGTCAGTCACTGCCGCACAAACACTTAACGTTGTCTTCAACCGCTTCCGAATTCCCGGGGAAATCCCAGAAATACAGGAGCACAAGTAAAATTAATACGGGAGCGTTGTCTCTGATCATTAAGACATTTAATCCGGAACTTGAATATCCTCGCGAAGACTAATCCTTGTGAACAAAATCAATACACGCACACCCCACTTGTTGACTGGATCCGTGCCTAGACTGACAGTAACAGTAATCAACATTACACCGCAGTGAATCAATTCACTTCAGTATCCATTCCATATATGTTTATAATCACGTCTAACCGGCAGTTGATCACTGTTGTCCAGCACCTAATCGCTAGAGTTTCAATGCCCATTTCATCAATCTCCCGTAACGTTGATCGTGACGTTCTGTAGTTGAAGTATATTGATACCGACGCACTATCACCGAGTCTGACTTAGAGGTAGTTCTACATATACATTTCTCGTTTAATGGTGATATTATTGACCTCCACAAACGATAATGTACAATATCTATAAGGCGCCTTTCCGGGCTTCACATCCTGCTCAAAGCGCACAAATATCATCTGACTATTATTACCCCGAATAAACCAAGCTGCCTGTGAGGCGCTAGAAGGTTAATAGTCGCATGACGTATCCCGCCGGGTACCCAGTTTCTGCTTGGTGAACAGAGACAATTTTGAACAAACTCACTTGTCTAAGGCGAGACCACGTGTATCACGTGTGCTTCGTTGTGGAGCAGGACTGAAGTCCTAGAAACTCCCAGGAGTCAAGCTGCTAATCACGGTCACCCATCCAATTACTCTCCGCACCCAACGCACCTGATTTGTGGTCTGAACTCTATGCACAGGACACCCCCGCACCACCAAAATGAGACTGTAGAACAGTTTGGGCATATGTACACTCATTAAGCTCACGTTCAGACATCCCTCGTGTCACAAAATAGGGAAACAAGTTATAAGAATTGACCTTTCCTTTGTGTGGGTAAACCATCACTGGCTGAAGTCCAAACATTGTAATAAACGTCGGACCTTCCGTTGACCTTCACCCTATGATTTATAATTGCTGATTGTGGGTGCCAAATACGATTTATTTGCGTCTGGCGTACTGCACTCTTGAATTCGTTCGTACCAGACAGCCGCCACAATGAGCTCACGAAGTGCAAGTCATACATTTCTAAATGGAAAAGGTGTTCCGTGGCATCAGGTCCCGGCAAGCTGGAGACATGTTTGCTTTGTGTTCTACTTAATGACACATTATACATAAATATCGATTGTAACAACTTTCCCAGATTTGCCGGTCGCATTTTCTCAGCAACGAAAGGTCAACTGCACACATATCACATTTATCTATTGATAAAAAAACAAACGACCAAACGTCATGCATAGATCACGTTCCACAGCTGAACGATAGTGGGACTTCTGTGAAGTTTATCTCATCAATTGACATTATGTTTTAGGCTTTGAAAAAGTATTTTTCACAATGAATAATAAATGGATTATTATTCTCGAAACTCTGAATTTCGGATTTCATGTTATTTGTAAACCAAGATTAGGGGTTTTCAAATGTCCTTCACTTGGAATAGATAATTTATAATTAGGATATAATACCGCTGATTTTCTAACACAGTATGTTTATCTCCATTCCACCAAAACCGCGTTATTAAGTTAAAAAGATTTTAAAATATGCACACTGTTGAAAATCAGAGCTATGTAACGTATATCACAATCCAGTATTTACTGAAGTCATGGTAGAATTCAGATTTGCATATTTCCTAAATATCAGCTCGTCCATAGTGTCACCGACGTCAGAGACCAACCCAGACGCTCCAGAGTGTGAGGGATTATCCATGAGAACGTGGCCAGGGACTCACAGCAGTAATTCACAAATGACATATTTTGTGTTCCTGGCTGTGATATTGCTGGAATATTACTAAAAGCAGCGTAAAACCACACTCACTCACTTACTCACTAAATGAGTGTTTCATCGTCCAGTCTCTAACAATAAACCCATGAGCCAACTTTGAAACATTTACTGTGTTAAATTAGTTTTGCATATTCCATTTAACTTAATTCATACAAGGATTATACTTAGCATGATGATACTGTTATGTAGAAGACGTAATTTCTGATTGTATTGTCCCAATACACGTTTTGTTTAACGCCGCACTCAGCAATATTCCAGCTACATGACGGCGGTTTGTAAATAATCAGGCCTGTACAAGACAATCCAATGATCAACATCATGAGCATCGTACGCCCACGAGGGGCGTCCCGATCAGCACAAGATGGAACCGCCGTTTGCGATTATCACAGCACTACACTTTGGTACCGACTGGAAGTCTTTGTCTTCTCCATTCTTCCTACAACGTGTTGGCCATCTTTTTGCTTGGCGTTGACATCTCTCGAGTTCATCCCTGGGATGGTCTATCGGATTCAGATCTGGAAATCTAGAAGGTCATGACAAGACATTGATGTCTGAATTATGAACGAAGTCAACAGTGACTTGAGGGGTGTGTGGTGTAGCATTACAATGTTGAAACCACTCTCTGTCAGTTGGTGAGGTGAGGTGAAATTAGGTTTAACGTCGTGCTTGAGAATATTTCGCTCATATGACGACGTGCATGCGTGTGTATGTGTGTATGCAGCTGCCTGTACTAGCCCAGACTTAAGCTGGTTTTATAGTGCTAGCCCACTGAGATACCATGCCGCAGTGAAGCATGAATACCCCACTCAGACACATTATACTGACTCCGAGCCGACCAGTCCTTGTTGTACCCAGTAATGCCGAGCGCCAGGCAGGGACCAACAAGTACCATATTTTAACGTCTTTTGGTATGACGCGGTCGGGGATCGAACCCGCGACCTTCCGCTCTCCGGGCGGACGCTCTAACCACTACACCACGGAGGTGGTCCTGTCAGTTGGTAATCGGAAGAATGACGTTGAAGAATTTGGTCCATGTACCCATTTGCTGTCAGAGTACCCTGAACTCCCACCACCAAGTCAGATCTCTGTCAGTAGGATATGACTCTCCACGCCATCACACGTCCGCCAGTGAATCATCTGATCTGTGGAACACAGTTCGGTGCCAAACGTTCATGTCGACGTCGGTAGACACGCTCTCTTGCGTCTCGGCGTTGGAGAAAACAATCGTTATTCTTCACTGAACCAGACTCGCCACCTGTCTCTCTGTGCCCGTATGGTGTTACTCAATGTAATCAACGCAAACGTCTCAATACAGGGACAAATACAGGCGCCCTGGGTCTAATCCAACCTATCGCCGACGATTCCTTCATTGCTCGGCCTGCTACCCTCTTAAAACCAGGCACTTGCCATAGTCTCGGTGCCAGTAGCATGTCGATGACGTAGATGAACGACTCGGATGTGTTCTTGTGCCAGGGTGACTTTTGGATCACCACTTCTCTGACGATCTCGGGTTTAATTGAACCAGGTACACTGACACTTAAAGGATATATGGTGTTCTGGCGAACATAGCAACAACAGACAGGGTCACTCCAGCTTCAGGGCGTCCTATGGTGTTTCCAGCCATAGTTTCAGCATTTTTTAACTTGCAATAAGTCGACAGACAAAATGCTGACTGACGTTTGACCTTTTATCGTGATTTGCACGTGCATTCTTATATTGTTTCACTTTCTGTGACATATTCATCCAGTCTAAAGCTATAAAATAAATAAATAAATAAATCGGTTGCGTTTGTAAAGGGCACCCGTTAATGAAAATGTGATTAATTGTTCTTTGAACATATTTTGTAATGGTATATCATGTTTCGTGAATATACAAGAACAACTTATCTTCTAATATTACATGTGTATCTTTCGTTTGAAGTGTGTATGTACTGTTAACGGTGGTGAAGATATGGATGGTAATGCAAATCCCAACGGTCAAACAAATTATGACAGTGATTCCCTCGTCATCAAAGCCTTACTGCCCTAATGCAAACTGCATTCATGATGTAATGCAGACACGATTGTGAGTGAGTGAGTGAGTGAGTTTAGTTTCCAGCTATATGGCGGCGGTCTGTAAATAATCGAGTCTGGACCAGACAATCCAATGTACAACCGCAATTGGGAACCGATGACATGTGTCAACCAAGTCAGCGAGCTTGACCACCCGGATCCTGTTAGTCGCCTCTTACGACAAGCGTGGGTTACTGAAGATCAATTCTAACTCGGACCTTCACGGATGACACGATTGTGATGTTTGATGACATCTATTATGACATCAGAGTCTATGATTGCTGACATCATTGTCGCGGCAAGGTAGTAGATGTCACTTCTTCGCAAGCACAAAGTCTCCATATACTAGTGATGTGACGATTCATCGATACAGTGAATCGATACAAAGTTTTACATTGTCATATATCCCGATACGATACTTCAAAGGGGCCACGATACATGATGTTAACTTTGAATATTGCCGAATTGCGATATCTGTCAGGATATACTGTTTTTAAAGTCGGCACAAACTTCATTCAATATAATTATGTGACTGCAGTCACAGCATCCAGCAACATGCAGATATTAAAGGTGTTTTTGATCTATGTTTTATGTTTATAACAGTATTATGTTGTATTTAATTTGTACTTGTTTTTAAAATTGTGTCAAATGTGACTTTTTTCAAATTAAAGTTTCTTTCATTTAAACATTGCTTTTGTTTTCATCTTAAGGTGTTTTATAGTTGGTGTTAGAATTAAAGGTTTTAGTATCGTGATACGTATCGTATCGCCACACTTATATCGGGATTCGTATCGTATCGCAGCTTCAGTGCACAATACTTTGGAAATATATCGTCGTAAGTAAACTTATAGTATCGTGATGTATCGTATCGCAGGTTGTATGCTAATACCAGCACTGCCATATACTACCCTTAAAGGGAGAAAGCGGGAGACTGGTATATCTGTTCATGAAAGTTATTATTTGATGAAAACTGACGGGTCGGTTGAATCTATATAACGTTACATTGCTTCTTAACGGACGCCAATGTCATCACACGTTGTGAAGGATGTCACATTTGGATAAATTCCGTCATTACAGCAAAGAAATGTAACAAGTTCCTTGCTAAATGCTCTGGACATAATTATATTAAAACCATTTATTCAGTAAAGCGATTGTGTTAATGTTTTGATCTATTTTACTGTAGCAATTTACTGTTGTCATCAATCTGGTACAAGAAACTAATATACTGAGCTTGACATTCAGCGACAGTCCGTGTGTCATCATAAGCCGTATTGTAGATGGGCAGCAGAGCACTACAGAGCGGTAGCAGAGCACCACAAATGGGGTTTTCCGCGATCAATATTGTCAAGTCGTTTCTGGCACACATCCCTCGACCTGCGATAATCTGGTCTGGAATCCTGTATTTACTCTTTGTAAACATTCCAGATATAATCCCTAAACCTAAAACAATTGTGATATTTTTTGTGTTTACTTTCAAATTTTCTTGGTCTCTCGTCAAGCACGATCTCATCCAATTAAATCGTCTGTATTGTGAATCCCTCATATCTTCTACAAAAGCTCTTCATTAAAACGTGATTTCATTGGCCCATCGATTATGAGCCCGAAACGTGGCCTGTTTTTCCTTACCATGTGTTGCTGCTACCAGATCATCGGAAGAAAAGCGCTGATGGGAAGGACCGCCTAATTCCATGTTCAGTAGGTAATTACATTCAACTATCTCTTGTTTGTGTGTTCGATCGTGTAGTTTAAAGAGGCGGATGTCTGCCCGAGTGAAAATGGTCTGTTTGTATTGTCGTCTGCTAGGTGTGCGCCGGTTTGTGGCAGTGCGAAGTGACGGCCACTGTCGCTACAGTC